CTTGCCGTCCTTCTTGTCCTCCTTCTTGCGCTGCTCCAGCAGATGCTATCGGCTGCTCTTTCTGCATCTTGTTTGCACTCCCCCTCCCTCCTCCTCTTTCTCCTCCCTCCTGCCTCCCTCCCTTTTCTGCCTTTTCGCTCCTCCGTTCTCCGTCCTCCCTCCTCGCGGTTCCGTCCTGCGTCCAGCCTCCTCCGTCCTCCGTTCCTGCTTCCTCTGCTCTCCCCCCTCTTTCCTGGCTCTCCGCTCCCGCTCCCTGCCCGTCGCTCGCTCCTTCCACCTCCCTGCCCCTCCTCCTCGCCCTCCTGGTTCCCTCCTCCCTCCTCCGCCCTCCCTCCTGAGGAGGGGGAAACGGAGGGGGGAGGAGGAGCCGAGAGACCTCCCCCCCCTGCCCCTCCCCGATCCTGCCCTCCGTCCACCTCGCCGGGGGCGGAGGCATTTCTTCGCCACCCTCCCACTCCTCCTCGCTATCCGACTCCTCCCCTGCAGCCGCCTCGACCTCCCGCTCCCCCTCGCATTCGCCCACGTCCCCGCCCTTCCCCCACTTCCTCCCCCCCAGGACACAAGGTCGAGGGACAAGCGGGGGGAGTAGAACAGATGGGAGATGTGAGGGGATCGGAATGGGGGGCATGAAAGGCAGGGTGAGGGAGATGATGACGCGCAGGGAGGGGATGACAGAAAGGAGCCACACGAGGGGTGGGGGAACAAGGAGGACGGGAGAGGGGGGGGAGAGCAACGATGCAGCGGGGGACATTCACATTCAGGAGCGGGGAGGGGTGGCGAGACCAGGACGCACAGGAGGGGAGAGCAGTGGAGAGAGGGAGGGGGGACGGGAGATGAAGGGATGAAACAGGAGGGCCATGTTGGCCAGCGAGGGCCCCAGACAGTGGGTAAGCTCATCCTCGATGTGCGATATGTATGTTGTGCGATATGTGTATGGTGCAACGCATGTGTCGCAACATGTACGGTGCAACCTAATCGACGCAACCAATGTGCGCAATGTAGGTAATGCGCTGTAGGTGTTGCAACATCCTGTATTGGGGCGGGGGGTGCGGTCTATGGAATGCAAGCTATGTGTTACAACCTATGGGTTGCACGCTATGTGGTGAAATGTATGGGCTGCTGCTCACCTTGCTGGCATCCGCGCGTGGCAATCCCCAACGCTCGTACAAACATACCACCCACCCACCCGCAACTTGTTTGCAATACCCAGCTGGCGTAGACGCGATACCCATACTTATGCAGATCCATGCCTCGGGGTGGCAAGTGCTGGTGATGGTGATGATGGTGGCGCTGACGACGAGGGCGACGGCAACGACGGTGGCGATGACGCGGTTGATGGCGACGGCTGATATGATGCCGAAGACGATGGTGATAGGATAACGGCGACGGTGATGATGGCGACACTGATGACGCTGACGACGCAGAGAACGATGGTGCTGAGGGCAACGGCAACGATGATCACGTTGACGATGATGATGCTGACGACGACGGTGGGGATGGTCACGGTGCTGGAGTTGATGGTAAATATGCTGGTGACGGTGACACTTCTGACGATGGTGATGATGAAGGCCGACGACAACGACGATAATAACGATGATGTTATGACGACGGTGGGGATGATGATGACGACGATGGTGATGATGGCTGATGTGATGGTGATGGTGGTGGCAATGACGACGGTGGCGATGATGACAAGGTTGGTGCGCATGAGGGTGATCTGGAGCTGCGCGCGCAAACATCCTGGAACCCATGTTTGTCCACCTGGTGTTTGACTGTGCTTGTACACATGTGTGTTGCACTTCTGACGGACTTGGAATGGTTCCGATGTGCGAGCGCGGAGGCGCGCGCATGTGCCCCGAACTGTTTGGCAGAGTTGGCTGGGAAGCGATGGCTGTTGACGGTGTTCGATGTGCGCGCGCGTGCACTTCTTGGTACCGCTCGAAAAAAAACACAACCACACACCGTTAGCCCCTTGTACTTTCAGCGAGTGCGCGTGCGTAGGCATCTGGCAACACTTTGGGAGGCAACCAGCTGATATTGATCGTTCCTGGACGGGTATGCATTGACGTTGGGGAAGTCTGTGGCGCAACGGCCTTTGCCAGTCAAGAAGGGTCAAACCCACCGCTCGCGCAACCATCGCTACCGCCCACCTTCAACTTGTTTGGCAGAGCCGATTCGGACATGACTGCGGCTACCGACTGGCACTTGCCAGCGCGTCTCTACGGCTGCACTGGCACGCGCACGCTCCGCAGATTGGCAAGCTGGTTTGGCGCAACTGTTGCGGCCACGATGACGCTTAACGATGTGGTCGTCCCGTCGTGTCTCGGGGGCCGCGCTGGCGCGCGGGCACTTCAGCGCGGGTCGGTGACTCGGGCTGGCCCGATATCATGGTTACATCGACAGCGGCGGAAAGGATGATGCTAATAGCGGTGGTGGTGGCGATGACGACGATGACGAAAGCAAGGCGAACGACAGCGCCGATGCAAGTGACGACGATGACCGTGATGAAGTCCTTGCGTCGGTGGTAGAGATGGTGGCGGCACTGGAAGCGACGAACGAGGACGGCAACGGCAGCTGTGCGATGGCGATGCAGAGGGTGATTGGGGCAGGGCGCGCGCAGAAATTCAAGAGAGCTGGTAGATTTTATGCTCATATCCATACAGGGCAGCTTTTAAGACATCGGATCATAAAAACTATAGGACTTGTAATACATGGTTCATTTATGGATACATGTATGCATGAACTCATCGTTGTTTTGAACACCAAATCCACGCATTTTTAGTACACGATCCGCACGCGGAGCATGTATTAAAAACGGCACTGTACATACGTACTCCGGATTGCGTAATAAAAGGGAGGGGGTCTGGACCCTTCACGACAAGCCATTTCAGACCTCCCCCGTGGGAGAACCCTCCAAAACATCGTCCCCAGACCCCCCAGGCCCTCCAGGATAGCCTGGAAGAGACCCCCCCCGAAATGAGACCCCCCTCCCTTTTATTACGAAATCTGGAGTACCTTCTCCCGATGGTCCTCCCCCCCTCTCTTGGGCGCCCCTGGAGGAGGAGGAGGAGGAGGAGGAGGAGGAGGAGGAGGAGGAGGAAGAGAGGAGGAGGAGGAGGAAGAGAGGAGGAGGAGGAGGAGGAGGAGGAGGAGGAGGAGGAAACTATCTTGAACTGCTTCGAAGCCCAACGGTCTCGTAAACACGCCTCGGCGCGCGTGCGCGTCGCGGCCCGCGCCATGCATGGGGCACGCCCAGCACTCGCTGCTCCGGGCGCGCGCGCGGGGCGCGTGCTGCAGGTCGGCGCGGGTGTGCCGTCGGGGCGTGGACCTCTAGAGAACCCTAACTGAGGAACGAGGCCCCTCTTCTCCACACACTGAGCTTCGATTTCCCATGGGAAACCTGAGGAAAAAACCCAAGGCAAACCGAGAAACAGCGAAGGAACACGGAGCCCCTCCCCAACGAAAAGGGTTCCTTGTTCAGCGCCCTGACTGTACCGCGTGGAGAGGTAAGACTGCGGTGTCTGCAAGGTGTCGCAACTGCCAGCACGACGTGGATCTGGAACGTGCGTGAGGCAAACCAACAGGAAAAACGCCAGCCTTCAACCTGGCCTCCTCGTACTCCTGCCTGTCCTTCATCCTCTTCAGCTCGCGCTCCTGTGCGCCTCTGGCAGAAGGGACGGCGGAGGAGCAGGGTGCAACGATGAGCAAAAGGCAACAATGCATACCAAGAAGATCACCATGCATACTTTCCGTTGCAGAAGCTCTGACAGCATGGGTGTTCAAGCGAGGGACCTCGCCAAGAGACCACGCATCCGTATCAAACGCATCGTGCCAGAAAGTACGACTCCAGCTTCCGTGCTATTGCGTCCCCGTGAACTTAATCACGCGAGAGCGCATGCTTTAGCAGCAGTGCAATGGAGAGCAATGCCAGGCGGGGCAGGGTAGACTGCATTGTAGAGTAGTACCATGCAGCGCAGCTGTGCGCGCGCGTGCTCTGGCATGTGCACGTGCACGTGCGTGCCTGTGCACGGGATTTGCGGGCATCGTGACGGCGCACGCCAGTCGGAGCTTCAAAATCATGTGAAGATCCATGCGCATACATCTGTCCGTCCTCCAGGGGCATCTGGCGGATTATGTTTTTCAATCCTGGCGCTCCTCCTTGATTTCGGCCCAGGGCCACCGCGACCATTAAGAAAAGAAGGCACCAAGGAAGGGGCCGAGAACTCTTGGGACCACGGACTGAACAGAAACGGCGCCGCCAGACGTCTGAGGTCGAGCGCGGTGCCAGGTGAGCAGCACCGAAAAGCCAGCCCCTCTTGATTGTTCAGAAGCCTCCCAAATTTGGTCTGAGTTGATGTGGTCGGAAGATGGCGCCGCATCGCCGAAAACTCGGCGACGTCGGCGCGGAGAAAATCGGACACCACGTCGAGCCGCATCGCCGATGCATCGGCGATGCGGCGCGAGCCACCGACCCCGTCTACTTGGACCTCAGTCGGCGGGAGGCCTAGGCTGCTGTTGCCATCCTGACGAGCTCCACAAAGGGGGCTCCCAAAACTCTGACGAAACCAAGACCGGGACAAAACAGGACTGGTACAGATCGTGGTTCCCTGAGATCGGGCGGTTCTGGAGGATGTCTCGGGCGCCGTGGCCGTTCCAGAGCGCTCAGGAGCCTCCTGGGAACGTTCCGGAAAATCTGTTCTGGACGCCCTACATGGGTACGGAAAAAAAGGCACGATGCCCGACAACAAATGTGGTCTAAAACCGACAGCGGCCGCTGTCGGGCAGGCGGCCTTCTATCTCAAATGGGCAACATCCGCGACGAGTCTGACAGCGAATCCGGCTCAGAATGAACAGGTCATGTCAGGAAATGCTGTCGGTCTTCGTCTCCGTTCTTTCCGTACCCATATGTCGCCCCGCGAGTTGTGCTCAACGCGCCCGAGTGGACGACGCCGACACGACGGCAAACCCACGACAAGCCTTGCGCTGCGCCCCGCGCGCCAAGCAGACGGCGCCAGCACCGCGGCAAACCCACAGAGAGCCCACCGCGCCCAAGGCGGAGTTTGCCCCGGTGTCCGCGGCGCCCTCCCCAATGCGCACGGCCGCGTGCCGGAGCAATTCACGGCGTGGCGGCATGTCGATCCTGCCGATTCATCCGGGTCCTGGGCCCGCCCGAACAAAACGAGGCCCGGGAGGATCTTTTGAGAGATCCTGGGGCGAAGGGGCCCAGAGACGCGCACGCCCCGTCGGACCCGCCGCTGGGCCCTCTCCGGCAGCTTTCCCAGAACTCCGGGGGATGCTTGCTGGCCCGTCGCTGGGCCGTCCTCTGGGGCAACTGTCTTCGCGCTCCGCGCTCCGCGCTCCGCGCTCCGCGCGAAGCGCGACTATCTTCGTCCCTTTGCGCCGCCCCCCCCCCCCCCCCGGGAACAGGGCGAGGCGCCCGCGCCTCGCTCTGAAGCCGCCCAGGCCGCGAAGCGCGAAGCGCGACTGACTTCGCACCCTCGTGGTGGCCCTGGGTCCCGGGGGCGACCTCGGATCTCCGCTCGAGCGGCGACGACCCAGGGGGATCTCCAGGTCGGGGGCTCTCCCTCAGGAGCGCACCGAGGGCCCCACATCGGGAGTGCGCAGGACCCGCCTTGGGCAACACTGTGCTGGCGTCGTGCCCCGGGGGAAGGCCTCGAGGGCCTGGGACCTCTGGGAAGGCTCGGAGGGCCTCTGGCCCTCTGGGGGAGGCATTCCCAGCCATCTCCGGTGCCGCAGGCGCCTTCCCAGAAGGCCAGAGGGCAGAAGCCCTCGCCGCCTTCCGAGAGAAGGCCCGCCCCCTCGCACGTCAGCCTCGGCGCGCCGCCGAAGTCCTGGCCGGCGCATGCCCGAGAGCTGGCGGCCGCAGCGCCCTCTCGAGGAGAGGAGACACAGAGGCAGGCCTGTCGATCTCCCAGCACCGGGGTTCGACGCTTCGGAGGAAGAGGAGGAGGAGGGGAAGGAGGAGGAGGAGGGGAAGGAGGAGGAGGAGGAGGAGGAGGAGGAGGAGGAGGAGGAGGAGGAGGAGGAGGAGGAGGAGGAGGAGGAGGAGGAGGAGGAGTTGGCAAGGCTTCGGGTTGCGCAGAGATGGCCCCCTCCAGGTGCAGTCGGGCTGCTGCAAGGAAGGAACGCTAGGGTAAGGAACGGGGCCCCTTCTTCCAGAAGTGCCGGAGTGCACGGGCAGGGCCCGAGGAGCAGTGATCAGCCCCTGAATGACCCACGGGCCAGCGGGCCCCTCCCGCAGCCACAGCCGCCCCTGTTTCAGCGTCTGGGCCGCACTCTCCCGGCCAGCCCCACTAGGACCCCCGAGTGGTCCGGGGCGGAGCGCCCCAGGTGCCAGGAGGAGGAGGAGGAGGAGGAGGAGGAGGCGGAGGAGGAGGAGGCGGAGGAGGAGGAGGAGGAGGAGGAGGGGGAGGAGGAGGAGGAGCGCCCCAGGTGCCAGGCCAGAGGCTGGGCTGCCTGGGAGGATTCTGGGGGGGCGCCGCGCCGCCCTCCTGGGGGCGCGGAGCGCCACGCGGGCGCTCCGCAGGAGACCGCCCCTGGACTAATTACGGTGGGGGCGTTGGTCAAGGAAGGCGCCCAGGATGCTGCAGACCCTGGGGGATTCCTTACAGTCGGGGCGTTGACCTAAGGCACCCTAAATAAGGAACGAGGCCCGTTTGTTCCACAAGTTGAACTTCGATCCCCCATCGAAAACCTAAGGACAACCTGAGGCAAGCTGCGAAATACTTAAGGAACGCGGAGCCCCTCCCCAACGAAAAGGGTTCCTTCTTCAGGGCCCCGACTGCATCTGATGAGGGGGGCGGTGGTATCCATGGCCATGCCTCGCTTGGAGTTCCACCGGCCTCCAGACCCTGGACTCCCGATTTAAAGGTCCCTTATCCAACGCCCCCAACGTGCTCGGGGGGCCTGCTGAGGCCAACTGGGACTGCCCGGGGCGGGCCGTCTGTGCGCAACCTGAAGCCTCACAGGTTCCACGGGTCGTCGACCTTCCGATGGGCTCCTGGAGCGGAGGCGGCGCCAAGGTGTTGAGACCGCCCCAGTTCACTCGGGGGCTTGGTCCCAGGCAAGTTCCCATGAGAGATGGTTCTGCTCCTGGGCGCCGCCCTCAGGGCCTCCCAAGAGCCCCAAGAGCGGCCCAGAGGCCGCCCAAAAGACCTCCGGGACATGAAGAGACCGCTCCAGGGCGCCCGAGATGGCCCCCAGGCAGCCCAAGAGGCCTCCCAGAGCACTCCCGCCTGCTGAGGCCAGCTGGGTCAGCCGGTTCCATGGGCCGTCAACCTTCCGATGGGCGCCAGGAGGCCAGGAGTACCTGGCTCACAGCGGGGCGTCGGACGCTCCTGTGGCCCAAACACCCGACGTTTGTTCTCGGCACGTGGCTCTCCTGAGATCTGGACTCCTCCCCGGGGACTGGCTATTTTTCGTCCGGAAGAGTTTCTGCTCACCGTCCAGGGGCCCTGTGTGAGGGCCCCGAGAGGCCGAAAACTGCCTCGGCGCGTTTGTGCTCGGCGACGCGAGGATGCCAAGGGAGAGCGGATGGCCCCTCTGGAGCGGCCGTTCTCCCAGGAGGAGGGAGGGGGAGCGCGCGACCGGTGACGCTCGGGCGGGGCGAGCGTGCGAGGGCCTCGCGTGCCCTGGGGCACCAGCACGTGGGGTTGGGGTCTGGCACCCCCGCCCCACGTACGAGCGTCACCGTTGCCCGGATGTGTGTGTGGGGGTAGCGACAGTTACGCGTCAGAGGGTAAAAACAAAAACAACGGCAGTTACGCGTCAGAGGCTAAAACCAACAATCCCTGAGATCCCACTCGTGCGTAGACGTGCGGGCTCCGCGGTCGGAGGCGGACCCGTCCGAGGAGCGCCTCGCCCCGGCCCGCCGACGGCCACGGCGCTCTGTGTGCTGGCTCCAGCGCTCGGCTCCCGCACGGAGGCCTCTGCACCCGAGAGATGGCGGCGCTCGGTGCGCACCCTTCGGGGCGCCCGGTGGGGGCCAACGCCACCGCGCAGGCCGCTGCTGCCTGGCGGCACACGCGCACGATCGGCGGCGCGCGCTCCGGGAGATCCTCGGCGCCAGCGGGCAGGCGCGGCATTCCGCCGGTGCGGTTCGGGCGCCCCGAGCGGCACCCCGAGGGCGCTGCGGAAGCAGGGGCTGCCGTGCGCCACCACGACGAGGCACCGCCGGGCCGCATCTCGGCAACGTCTGGTCAGGTCCGGCGTCGTGGCCACAACAGGACCCCCCCGCGGAGACCTCCACGGGCGCGAGTAGCTTTGCATAGTGAAGAGTTCGATTGGTGAAGATTCTTATTCGGAAATGCTCTAGCACAGTCAAACATATGTTAGCCAGCGTGGACCCCCAAACAGTGGTTTCTTGCAGTGCAAACACACTCTCACACACACACACGCATGCACGCACGCACGCAGGCACGCAGGCACACATGCACGCACGCACGCAGGCCCGCACGCACGCAGGTACGCAGGTACGCAGGCACGCAGGTACGCACGCACGCACGCACGCACGCACACACAAACGCACACACAAACGCACACAAACGCACACACAAACGCACACACGCACACACGCACTCACACACACACACGCACACGCTCGCACGCACACACAAACACAAGCACACACACCACAGAGAGAAAGAGAGAGAGAGAGACACACAGACACACACAACACACAACACACAACACACAACACACAACACACAACACACAACACACAACACCACACAACACACAACACACACGCACACCCACACCCACACGCACACGCACACGCACACGCACACGCACACGCACACGCACACTTACACACTTACACATTTACACACTTACACACTTACACACTTACACACTTACACACTTGAACACTTACACACTTACACACACGCACGCGCACACATACATATAAATGCATTTACATACGTAATTGTGTAGGGGTGTATGTTCATATGCGGTGCAATCTAAGTGGTGCCACCTAAGTGGTGCAATCTAGGTGGCGCAATCCTGTGCAATCCGTGTAGTGCAGAACATACAATGCAACGCACAACAATGCAATGACATGCAACGCGACGCAACGCAATGCAACACAATGCAGAGCAACGCACAGCAGTGCGACCCCAGGCAAATCAATGCAATGCAAGCCAGTGCAACACGATACAAATCAACGCAAGCCAATGAGCACAACGCAAAACAATGCAAACACAATGCAACGGGGCGGCGGCGAAACGCGCGGCAACGGGGCCGCCGTGGCCGCACGCGGCCCTCCTCTGGGGACGGGGGTGGGCGACGGGAGTGGAACGGGGCCGCAGTGGGGCCGCGCACGGGCCCGATGCCTCAGAAGAGAACTGAACAACAACCCGACTGGGGAATTCGACCCAGACGATTTTGGGTTTGGGGAGGGGGTCGTTTTTTTGGCCATCCCCCAAAACCAGGACTGATACCAGCTATGATTACTAGGGTTTGGGGATGGGGTTCGGGACCGGCCCTGGGGCGGAAGACGCGCCGCCTGGTCGACCAGAGGCCCCCCCTCTCGGAGAACGGACGCGCGCTGCAGGATGCACGGCGTGTGCGTCTTGGTCGATTGCGAGGGGAGGCCCGACGCTGGCGCGCTCAGGTGCGAGCGCAACCCCACGCCGCGCGCGCCGATGCGAGGCCTAAAGCAATCCCAAAGAAAAAACTACCCCTGTGGGCCAGCACCCAAGGTCCCTCCAGCGAAGGGAAACTCCTACGTGAGAAGCACATGTGGGTCTGGCAGTGGGCAACTCCTCAATCAACATCAACGGGTTCCGTTGGCTCGTGCGTCCCAAAGCACACATGAAATACCAAAAATAACCAAGTATGAGCATGGCTCAATCGACCCATAGCGGCGCGTCCTCCATTGCCCTTTGTTCATCTCTGACGCACAGCCATGGACAAACCAATGCTGACGACAAGAAGCAATTCTCTGCATATCGTGTATATATAATGTAGAAGAATTGAAGCCCGCCAGCTGGGCACTTCGTTATATCTTACCTTTGTTCATTGGATAGCAAGAAGTACCCCCCTTGTTGCCGCAAGGGGGTCACAACTCGCTCAAGTGTTGCACCAAGTCCACAGCCGATCGACTTCCGAAGAAAGAAAATAAGCCCAAAGCGAGGTTCGTGTTGGGGTATTTCGCGGCCTCACCCCCACCCCTGCCCCCCTCCCATCTCGTCGGTTCAACTGCCAGCCCCGAAAGCGCGGTGGCAGATACGCGTGGCAGCCCAACTGCCAAACTGTCTGAACATATTGGGGCACGTGTGCGCGGTACGTGCACGCACATGCGTGGCCAAGCGTACGCCTATGCCGTACCTATACAGGCAGGGAAACGCATGATATGCACCGATCTGTGTGAAAGTGTACACTGGCGTTGACAGGTTGTTGCTGCACGGGTGCCACGTGCCCGCTAAGCGCATGAAGCTGCAACGGTGTTGGCGGAGCAGCATACGCTCACCCACATCCATATGATTTGTTTGAATGGTCCTGTGCTGAAGCTGGCCGCATAAGTTAGGTGTGCACATCTGGGAGACTTTCTGCACGTGCGTGCCTGGCAAAAACAAGCAACATGGTTGGCAGGCCTGCCATGGCCATTGGAACATGCGAGAGATCGCGCGCGGCTCTCAGTCAACAGAGATTTGGGGCACATAAGACTTAGTAACATCCTGAGCCGCCTTGGACCAATTCAGGCCGAACGGGCGTCCGCACCGCCCGATGTGAAGAACGTTACGGCAGGTAGGTGTCGTGACGAGCCCGCCGTTGGTGTCTGACACCGCGTGCATCGCCTTTCTTTCATCGGTTTTCGTCTCAATAAGTTCTGGGCAACTGACGGCGTTCAACCTGGAACGCCCGCCCCAAGGGTCGCCGCCGCATCGACACGACAGGAGCCTGCCGTACCCGTGCGGTTGAAAGGAACATCCCCCCAAAACGCGCGAGAGGGGCGAGCGGACGGCGACGGCCGCCTGCCTGTGAGCGCCGGCGGCGGAGATGTGCCATCCGGCAAGAAGCGGTTGGCCCCGAAGACGCCCTTGTCGCCCATGGCCTCGCGGGGCAGGGGACGAGGAGGAGGTTGGAGCGTCTGGCGGGGACGAGCCTCCGATGGGCACCTGCCGCTGCGGCCCGCGGCGCGCTCTGCGGCCGAGGGTCATCCGGCAGAGGGAAGCAAGTAGTAGACACACCCCCCGTGCCCCCCAAACTCGAAGTTGGCACGCGCGGGGGAGACCGTGGTCGAGGTGCAGCTCATGAGACCCGCCGCCGACTTTGAACACAGTGGGGGGGGAGGGGGAGGCGTTGACAGAGGAATGAGGCATGAGTGCTCGCTTTTTATTTTTTCCCGAGGCCTGTCGCCCCTCCTCCCCGATTTCCAGATTTCCTCCTCCTCCTCCGAGGCACGCTCTCCCTCCACCAAAGAAGCGGGGTACCCCGCCAGAGGAGCAGCCCTCCCCCCCCGCAGAGGGGGAATGGGGTGCGCTCCGGGCAGCCCAAGAGCAGCTTGGACCCGGGCCTGCACAGCTCTTGACTCGAGCAGCCAGTGACAGAGACCCCCAGCGGTCCTCATCCTTCCTCCTCCCTCGTCGTGCTCCTTTTTCAGCTCTTCCTCCTCCTCCTCCTCCTCCTCCTCCTCCTCCTCCTCCTCCTCCTGCGCACTGCGGGCCACGGCGGTCTGTCCGCGGAGCCCGCGCCGCGCCCGCGCGGCGCGACGCAGCGACCTCTACCACCCCACCCCGCGGCCTCAGAGTGGTCTCTGAAGCGGGGGGGAGCCTCGGGAAACAGTCTCAGGACCCCAGAGCACCCGCACAGAAAAGGGAGGAGAAAGAGAGAGAGAGAGAGGGAGAGAGAGAGAGAGAGAGAGCCTCAGGAAGCCTCGGGTGGCCTCGAGAAAGAGGAAGCGGCTGGGGCCCGAGGCCCGCTGGTCAGCGAACCGCCCTCCTCCTCCTCCTCCTCCTCCTCATCAGCATCAGCATCAGCATCAGCATCAGCATCAGCATCAGCATCAGCATCAGCATCAGCATCAGCATCAGCATCAGCATCAGCATCAGCATCAGCATCATCATCATCATCATCATCATCATCATCATCATCATCATCATCATCATCATCATCATCATCATCATCATCATCATCATCATCATCATTCTCTTTAATGCTCGCTGCTGCGGGCTCGGGTGCCTTCACGGGGCGCGGCCCTCCTCCGCTCCCGGCGGCCCTCGCCGAGGGTGGCGGAACACCTCCCCCGCACCTTCCCTAAGACGGAGACAACATCGAGACAACCTCGGACCGATACACATGGGAAATCTCTGAGAATCAGCGGGTTCGGGGGATGTTCTGGGGGTTGTGGCTCTTCTGCAGAGCGTTCCGGAACGCTCTGGGAGCGTTCCGGAATGCTGTGGAACTGACTTTTCCTCGTCCTGGCCCCGCCCGATCCCTCATCCTCATATATCCTCATCCACCTCGCTCCTCGGAGTGCTCGGAAAGGACGCTCGGAAAGGTCGTCACAAAAATGGCATGCTAGTGGGCGGCAGGTGAGGCCTGCTGCTGCCGAGCGCAGACCTTGGTGTACTTCGCCTACATCGCTCCTCCCCCTGCTTGCGACTGACTCTGCAACGGAAGTTCATACAGTGATGACCCACATGGGCCTCGCAATGCGCCGCGTGCTCCTCCTACTCCCCGCATGCGCTCGCAACCGTCTCGGCGAGCGCGTGGATCGTCGCGTTCCTCCTCCTCCTCCTGCTGCTGGTCCTTCTCCCTCCTCCTTCTTGTCCTCCTTGCCTTCCCCCCTGGTCTGCTGGCGCCTTGATCATGTTGTTGAAATCCTTGGCGGCCCTGCGCTCGATGTCACGGATCTCCTCCCTACGCTCCCTGACGTCGTCGAGCACGGCCTCTCCGACCAGCGGCGCCAGACGGAGAAGGAGGCTAATGAGGATCATGCTGGTGATGCTGATGCTGGTGCTGATGCTGATGATGATGTTGATGATGATGCTGAGGCTGCAGTTGCTGATGCTGTTGATGCTGATGCTGCTGATGATGCTGATGGTGATGATGCGGATGGTGATGATAGCGATGGCGATGACAATGATGATCACGACGGTGCTGGTACTGCTGATGATGACGACGGGGAGAAACATTATAAGGATAATGGGGATGGTGATGGTGATGATGGTGATGATGAGGATGATGATGATGTAGGTGATGAGTTGTAGTATGATTATGCAAATACTGATGCTGACAATGATGATGAAGATGATGATGGTGATGCTGATGATAATGATGATTGTGATGATGATGATGATGATGATGATGATGATGATGATGATGATGATGATGATGATGATGCGGATGATGCTGATGCTACTGATAACGATGACGATGCGGATGATAATGGTGATGATGCTGCTGCTGCTGATGATGCGGGGTGCATATTCTGATGCTGATGCGGATGATGCTGCTGCTGATGATGCTGATGCTGATGCTGCTGCTGCTGCTGATGATGATGATAATAATGATGATGATGATGATGATGATGATGATGATGAGGATGATGATGATGATGATGATGATGATGATGATGATGTTGTTGTTGTTGGATGTTTGATGTCGGATGGTGGTGACGATAATGAGTATGCTGAGGAGGTCAGCGAGAAGTGGAAAGGCGGGGATGGTGAGGCGGAGGAGGAGTAGATGAGCAGGCACCCCCTGCTCATCTACCCTTCCTCCCCCTCATCATCGCTCCCCTCCCCTTCTCCCCTACGCCTACTCGCTCTCCTCTCCCCCCCAGCCAGCGATGGATGGGAGAGGAGAGCGGCGAGGAGGAGGAGGAGGCGGAGGAAGAGGAGGAGGAGGAGGAGGAGGAGGAGGAGGAGGAGGAGGAGGAGGAGGAGGAGGAGGAAGGAGGAGAGGAGAGGGAGGGGAAGGGGAAGAAGATGGGACGGAAGAGATAGCTAGGAGAATGAAGGGGGAGCCGGGAGAGGACGGGGAGGAGGTAGAGAGGAGGATCAGCAGGAGGAAGAAGAGGAGGAGCTCAGTTGAGCAAGCACGCGTGCAGCGCGGGGTCTGGAGCGGACATGCCTCCAAATTAACTCACCCTCCTGGTCCTCCTTCCAGCATCCTGGTCCCCTGCCGCCTTCCTCCTCCTCATTCTCTATATCTTCGTCCAAAATCCCTCCGCCCCCTCCTCCTCCCATATCCTCCACCTCGTCGACGTCATCGTTCTCTCCTCCTCCTCCTCCTCCACCTCCTCCTCCTCCTCGCGCTCACATGCTCCCATCTCCTGCCTCTGCCATGCCCATGCGTCCTCCCCCTTCTTGCTCGAGCACATCCAGCTCCTCCTCCAGGTCCTCCTCCTCGTCGTCCTCGTCCGCTTCGTCTTGCTGCTTCCCTCCTCTTCCTCCCTCCGTCCTCTCCTCTCCTCCTCCTCGTCCTCCTACCTCCTCCTCCTCCTCCTCTCTCCTCCTCCTCCTCCTCCTCCTCCTCCTCCTCCTCCTCCTCCTCCTCCTCCTCCTCCTCCTCCTCCTCCTCCTCCTCCTCCTCCTCCTTCTCCTGCACTCCCTATCTCTGCCATGCAACTTCATCGTTATGCTCTTCCTGCTCCTCCTCTTCCATGTCCCCACCCTGCTCGTCCGGCGTACCCTGTAGCTCATCCGGCCTCCGCCCCCACCTCCTGCACGCGTTCTACTCTTCGCGCTGCGACCCATGATCTCCGCCGTCGCGGATAAGAGCGAGGGGGCGCCTGGGGCTCGAGCACCAGCGCGCAAAAGGAGCCCGGCGCCGGCGCCGATCTGCTCTTGAAGCAATCTTTGCCAGCGCAGGCCCCAAACAGCGAGGTGGCGCCTGGCTTGGGGCGACGGCGATGGCAAGGAGCAGGAGGAGGAGGAGGAGGAAGAGGAGGAGGGGGAAAGGGAGGAGGAGGAAGAGGAGGAGGAGGAGGAGGAGGAGGAGGAGGAGGAGGGGCCTGGATGTGCAATCTTCGTGGTGCCCTCGGTGTATGGTGCAACCTATGTGTTGCAGTATCTGTGTTGACGAAAAACCGCCACCGTGCCGCGAGGCACTGAGTGGAGCGTCCTCAAGCTCATTCGAATTCCCAAAACAGTGCTTGCACTTGGCAGGTTTGCCGCTCTGGCGGCTATGTGGCCGCCATCGCCGCCCCGTCGCCGCATCGTCGCCGCCCGTCGTCTGTGGGCTGGTGTGCCGCTCTGGCAGCTATGTGGCCGCTGTCGCCGCCCCGTCGCCGCCTCGTCGCGGCTCGTCGCCGCCGCTAGATTGCGCCACATAGATTGCTTTGCATTGCTTTGCATTGCTTTGCATTGCGTTGCTTTGCCTTGCTTTGCCTTTCTCTGCATTGCATTATTTTGCCTTGCGCTGTTTGCATTGCTTTGCAGTGATTTGCGTTGATTTTAATTGCTTTGCCTTGCTCTCTGTGTTGTGGCGTTGATTTGCATGGGAGTGCTTTGGGTTGCTTTGTGTTGCTTTGCATCGCTTTGCGTTGATGTACGCTGCTTGGCATTACGTTGCGTTGCTGTGTATTGCTTTACATTGCATCGAACTGTATGACTTTGTGTTGTGTTTCTTTACCTTGCTTTGATTGCGTTACATTGGTTTGCGCTACGTTGCGTTGCCTTGCTTTGCCTTGTTTTGCGTTTGTTGGCGTGGCATTGCTTTGCAATGCTTTGCATTGCGTTGCACAGCCTTGCATTGTTTTGCGTTGCTTTGCGTTGCCTTGCATTGCCTTGAGTTGCTTCGCATGTATTTGCATGGCGTTGCGTTGCGTTGCTTTGTTTTGCAGTGCGTTGCGCTGCTATGCGTGGCATTGATTGGCATTGCTTTGCATGGCGTTGCGTTTGTTTGCGTTGCCCTGCAATACTTTGCGTTGCGCTGCATCTCTTTGCTTTGCTTTGCTCTGTCTTGCGTTGTTTTGCATTGCTTTGCGTTGCTTTGTCTTGCGTTGCATTGCCTTGCTTCGCATTGCTTTGCGTTCCATTGCTTTGCATTGCATTGATTTGCCCTGCTTTGCGTTGCTTTGCGTTGCATTGGCTTGCATTGCTGCGCGTTGCGCTGCGATTCATTGCGTTGAGTGAATTTTCATTGCTTCGCATCGGCTTGCATTACCTTGTACTGTGTTTGCCTTGCCTTGCGTTGCTTTGATGTGCATTGCTTCGTTGTGCATTGCAATGCATTGCGTTGCCTTGACGTGCTTTGCGCTGCGCTGCACTTGCATTGTATTGCATTCCCTTGCTTTGGTTTGTTTTGCGTTGCTTTGCATAGCTGTGCATAACTTTGCATAGCTTCTCATTGATTTGCATCGCGTTGCAGTGCTTTGCATGGCTTTGCAGCGAGTCGCGCTGCTTTGTGTTGCTTTGCGCTGCTTCTCGGTGCGTTGCAGTGCTGTGCGCTCCCCTTGCGTTGCTCTATTCCATCTAGTGCATCATCTAGATTGCACCACCTCGATTGCCCCACTTTGATCGGGCGACCTAGATGGCACCGCATACAGTCGGAGCGTTGACCAAAGGAACCCTAAATAAGGAACGAGGCCCCTTTTTCCCTTGAGTTGAACCTCGATTTCCCCTGGAACGCCTCGGGAGAACCTGAGGCAAACTGTGAAACATTCAAGGAACACCGAGCCCCTCCCCAACGAAAAAGGTTCCTGCTTCAGCACCTTGACTTAGATTTTCCTTAGGTTCCCGGTACGAAATTGAAGTTTCACGTATGGAAAATAGGGGCCTCGTTCCTTATCTAGGGTTCCTTAGGTCAACGCCTCGACTGTGCATTGAACGAAATCATTGTTTGGGGTCCCCGCTGGCGAACCTCTTCTGCATCGAATGCAGCGTGCTCTCTTCAGGGGGCCGCGAGTCGCCCGACGACCGCTCCAGTGCGACCAAAAAATGGCCTCCCGACGGCCCACGACGCCCCCCACAGACGCCCCGAGAGGGCTCCGAGAGCACCCCCAAACAGGGCCCCAAGACGCCAACCTTACGCTGGCCATCGCTCGGACGTCCATTCCCTGTGCTTTTTGTCGGTTTCGCGCGTGGCTTTTTCGCCAAATGATCAAGGATGCTCCTCGATGGTCCTCGCCGAAAGAAGAATGCACACGTCCGAGCGATGCCAAGTACGCTTTTGGGGTCAAACAAAAGATTCCAGCGTTCTTGCAGTTTCGGGGTGCCGACGTTCCACGACGGGCGAATCGGCACCCACTGTCGCCCCCAAGGGAGACCCCAGACGACCCAAGAGGTCACCAAGACGACCCAAGAGGCTCCCAAGAAGGCCTTGGAGCGTAGAGGGCCCCAAACGGGCCCCAAGAGAGGGAACTCGAACTTCGCGCCCTCCGCCCCACGATGACCCCCGAGACCGCCAGCTGGCCCCGCCCCGGGGCCAAACCATACCCCGACCCCAGGAGGCCCCCGAGAGGCCCCAACGACACTTCCAACATTGCAGCCAGGAGGCTTCCGAGAGGCCTCCCCAAGAGATCCCCACATGCATCCAATAGGCATCTCACCTCCAACCTAGACGCGGTGACGGGATGGGCCGAACGCCGCTTCGCTCGCCGCCCCCTGTTGGCTTGCCACAGGGGTGCCCGGCGTGCCAGATGTCTTGCGGTTTGGTCTTGGCTCCTTTCCCAAGAGAACTCGCCCCTGGGGCTCCGGCCCAGCCCGCAGGCCACCCGAGAGGGACCATAAGATCCGGTTGCAAAAGCTTTTCCTGCTCCAGACGGCTCCAAGATGGCCCAAACTGGCCTCCAAGATGCTTCTAAGACGGCCTCCAAGACGGCCCAAGAGGGTCCAATATGCTTCCAAGTCCGCCCAAGAAGCCTCCAAGACGGCCCAAGACTGACCAAGAGGTGCCCAAGAGGCCTCCGAGCGGTCCTCCAGGAGGGCCCGAAGAGGCTGGGCTTTTGAAGGATTTTCGTATTTGCTCTTTTTCGGCCTTCCGACTGCCCACGAGGGTTCAAGAGGCCCCAAAGATCGCCCCAGAGCGCCCACGAGGCCTCCAAGATGGCCTCAGGACTGCCCAAGAGGCCCAAAGACGGCCCCAAGAGGGCCCAAGAGGCCTCTAAGACGCACCAGGAAGCCTCCAAGACGGCCCTGCAGCACCCCAAGAGGGCTCCAAGTCGGCCCAGAAAGGCCCCCCAAACGGCTTCCGACGGGCCAGGAGCCCACCAAGACGGCCGAAGATAGCTCTAAGATGGCCCCAGACGGCCCAAGAGGCCTCCAAGAGGGCCTCCAGGAAGGCCCGAAGAGGCCCAAATCATTGATGCTCCCTAGGTTTTTCAAGGACTTTGGCATTTGCTTCTTTTCGGCCTTCCGACGGCCCGAGACGGCCCAAGAGCCCCCAAAGATCGGCCCAAGATCGCCCAAGAGGCCTCCAGGATGGCCCCAGAACGGCCCAAGAGGCCCTCAAGACGGCCCCAAGAGGGCGCCGAGACGGCCCAAGATGCCTCCAAGACGCCCGCGGTGGCCTCCCAGACGGCCCTGGAGCGCTCAAGAGGGCCCCAAGTCGGCCCAGAGAGGCACCCAAGACGGCTTCCGACGGCGTCAGACGGGCCAGGAGCCCACCAAGACGGCCCAAGAGGCCCCCGAGAAGCTCCCGAAGGCCCCCAAGAGGCCCAAGGAGGCCCCCAGGATGCCTCCAAGAGGCTCCCAGGAAGCTCCCAGGAAGCTCCCAGGAGGCCCCAAGGTTGCCCCCATAGGCTCCCACTCCTCCTCCTCCTCCTCCTCCTCCTCCTCCTCCTCCTCCTCCTCCTCCTCCTCCTCCTCCTCCTCCTCCTCCTCCTCCTCCTCCTCCTGATCGTCCCCGCCATCCTCCCCCAAGTGTTTCCCGAAGGGTTTCCACAACGGTTGGGGGAACACATGGTCCGATAGCTTGGCGGAGCTATTGCCACAACGCTCGGCCACGTGGGCGATTCTAGAAGGCGGGGGGCGGCGGTGATTCGCCGTAGGCGTCTTCGATCCGCCGCCACCCTCTGATGTATCACAAGGGCGCCCGGCGTGCGAATCGTTTGACTATTTGGTAAGTTTCAATCGGTTCCCAATTGGGTTTCGGCCGATCCCACCACCGTGTCCCAAAACAGGCGTTTCGCCTGACGCATTCTCACAACATGGCCAGAATGGCTTCAAGGTGGCCAAGATGGCCTCCAAGACAGTCCCAACACGCCTCCAAGACGTCCAAGATGGCCCAACGCGAGCCCAAGTCGGCCCCAATCTACCTCCAAGACGGGCCCGATACCAATCCACAACGATCCAAGATGGCCTCGAACAGGCCCCAAGAGGGCTCCGAGAGGACCTCCAGGATGCAAGCACCATTGACTACCCATCGGTGCTTCGATATGCTTAGAGTTATGTCGGGCGTGTCCCCCTGCAGGGGGATTTTCGACGACAAATGAAACATACCCTCCAAAATACCCCAAAAAGGTCAAAACATACAAAGAAAATAGTCCCCAGACTATTTGTTATTATCCTTTGACTTTTTCGGGGGCATTCTTTTTGATTTTTCGTCGAAAATCCCCCTGTAGGGGGACAGGCCGGACTTAGCTTAGAGACGTCTCGCCGTCTCGGGCTCCCGGCATCCGAACTCTGCACGTCATGGGCCCCGGATGTTGCCAGGGGGCCACATGCGAACCCTACCCCTACCTCCCACGATTTCTGAGGGGGAGGGTGGGGTTCATTTCGTTCGGGAGCTCCCGAGCGAAGTGAACCCCACCCTCCCCCTCAGAAATCGTGGGGGGTAGGGGTAGGGTTCGCATGTGGTCCCCTAGTTGCCCCGCGGCGGCCCCGGGAGGCCCCCACGCCGGGCCGCGCAGGCCCCGCCACGGCCCGAGAGGCCCCCAGCGGCGACCCCCCCCCAAACACAGCCCGGAAGCACTCCTCCTCCTCCTCCTCCTCCTCCTCCTCCTCCTCCTCCTCCTCCTCCTCCTCCTCCCCTTCCTCCTCCTCCTCCTCTCCCACGACGGCCCAGAGCTGCCCCCCACGGCGGCCTCGAGAGGCCCACGGGCCCCCCCCCCTGGAGGCCCCGAGGGGCGCGCACGAGGCCCCCAGGGAGGCCCCAAGAAGCCATCAGAGACCCCCAAGAGGCCCCCAGGAGGCTCCCAGCGGCCTCTGGTTCCTCCTCCCTCTCCTCCTCCTCCTCCTCCTCCTCCTCCTCTTCCTCCTCCTTCTTCTCCTGCCTCTCCTCCTCCTCCCACTGGTGTTCCCCCCCAGGGTTTCCATGACGGCTGGGCGAATGCGTGGCCCAATAACTTCGCAAGTGTTCGGCCCAATGTTTGGCCACATAGACGTTCCAAACTGACAGGGGGCGGCGGTAATTCGCCCCAGGCGTCTTCGATATGTGGTCTTGGTGGTGCAAGTTATGATCTCCTCCTCGTGCTCCTTCTCCGCCCGTCTTCTCTTCTCTTCTCTAATTTTCTCTCATCTCCTCTTCTCTTCTCTTCTCTTCTCTGCTCTACTCTGCTCTGCTCTGCTCTTCTCTTCTCGTCTTTTCTCTTCTCTTCTCCTCCTCCTCAGTTATGCTGGGGCTTTTTAACCACCCATCATGTGACCACTCATGCTTGGGCTTGGCCCCTCAGTCTGAGGCTGTTCCACCCTCCAGCGTTGACCCCTCATGCTTGGGCGGCTTTGGCCCCTCACGCGTTGACCCCTCGTGCTGGGGCTGCGACCCCTCATGAGCTGGACCTGGGCGCCTCGCTGCGGTCGCACCCCACCCGGGGACCTCATGCTCGTTGGGCTTTTGCCCCCGCATGCGCGGACACAGCTCGGCCAGCGGCAGCGCTAGCGGCCCTGTGTTCCCGCCAGCTGAGGCACCGACCTTTTGGCCACAACCGAACGCGTCCACAGGCCGCTCCGGCCGAGGATCGCGGACCGGTGCAACGCCTTCTGAACGCACGCATAACGTGCGCATGTCCATAGAGAAGAACACGTACCGCATTGCGTATCTGTAGAACCCGTACCGCATTGCGCACGCGTAGAAGAAGAAGGAGGATAACGTGCGCATGTCCATAGCGTGGCTCATGCACGGGCAGCGTCTGGGTGGGGAATGCTGCTACATTGCTTTGAAAAGGTGTGGCTGCCACAGGGTATTCGGAATGCGCATGCCATCCACCAATGCCCTGTGGCAACATCTGTGCTTGCAACAGGCTCCGAGGCCAGAAGGCTTGCCCTACCAACCTTCACGAGCAGCGCCTGCAAGGATGGAAGAGCCCAGGTGCCTCACCCGACTCATCGGGGTTTGTCGGCCCTCAAGGGCATTCCTCTCCCTCTCGCCATCTATCCCACTCCCTCTTCCTCTCACCCTCTCTCAATACATCATTATCTCTCTCTCTCTCTCTCTCTCCCTCTTCTTCCTCTCTTCTCTCACGTCTATCCTCCTCCTCCTCCTCCTCCTCCTCCTCCTCGGTTATTCTCCTCCTCCCTCCTCCCTCCTACCTTCACCCTCCTCCGTCCTCCTCCGTCCTCCTTCTCCTCCTCCTTCCAGGTTGGGCCGTGGAGAGAGGCGGGGCAACAGTGCCTCTCTGATGTCCTCGTCGAAATCCTGAGCCACCTGGCAGAGGAGGGCCAACGCAGACATCGGCGGCCCTCCTCCTCCTCCCCCTTGCCTATCTCCTTCCCTCCCTCCCTCCCTTACTCCTCCCTCCCTCCCTCCGCCTCCTCCTCCTCGTCCTCCTCCTCCTCCTCGTCCTCCTCTTCCTCCTGCTTCTCCTCTTCCTCTCTCCTCCTTCTCCGTCTCCTCTTCCCCTCTTTTCGACACGTCCGCCCTTCCCGCTCCCTTCTCCTCCGTCTGCCTGAGTCCTCCCCCCTCCCTCCCCCCCTCCGCCCTCTTCCTCCTCCTTCTTCTCTTCTTCCTCCTCCTCCCCCTTGCTCCGAGAATCTCCTCCTCCTCCTCCTCCTCCTCCTCCTCCTCCTGCCCCCCCTCGGTGGTAGACCCAGGCAGGTGGCGGTTCGCCGTGCGGTCCCACAGCGGGGGATGTTAACATCCCCCTCCCCCTCCTCTGAAAGCCTCCACCTCCTCCTCCGCCTCCTCCCGCGCTCCTCCCTCGTTCCTCCCCCATCACTCCTCCTCCTACCCCCCCTTTCCCCCACTCCGAGAGCCTGCTCCAGCTCCTCGAGTGCCTCCAGGGCCTCGTCCGTGCGCCCCAGGCCCTCGAGCGCCTGGGGCGGGCGGCGGCAGGCAGCGCACGCCACCTACCCGAGGCGTACCCAGTAAGACGATGCCAGGACGATGAGAACATCGGGCGAGGATACAGTAGGAGCTCGACCACAAGAAACTTTCCACCAGAAACCCAACCCCCGAGACCCCAGGACATCCCATGGTTTTTGGTGTGGGAATGTCGCGCGCTTTCCATCCCAAGGCCATCGAAACCCAAGAAACCCAGGGCACCGTGGAGGCAGGCAGGGTGTTTCTTGGCATGGGCTCCCCCTGTGAATCGAGAATCTCGGCGGTGGACAAACCTCCCTTTCGTAAACCTCCCCTTCGTGAAAACGGCCTGGGACCGAAACCGACGGACCTGGACCCGCAAAAACGACGGCCGCGACGCCCTCTCGCGAACCGAAAAAGGCCGATTCCTCGATCGACGTGCCATGGTAGGAGGTCTATACTCCTCTGATCGGGGATGGACAGACCCCCCTTTAGTAAAACGTGGTTTAGTGAGAACGACCTGAGGCCCAAACCTGGCGGGCGCAAGCCTGGTAAATAACGGCCACGGCGCCCTCTCGAGAACCGAAAACGGACAATTCACTAATCGACGTGTCACTGTTGGGGGTTCTGTCCGCACCCGATCTGAGAATCTCTGAGATCCGGCGGCCGTGGAGGCTGCCCCGGTCGCCGCGCTCCGGAGCGCCCTGGAACGGACTGGTAACACCAATGTCAAGGAACTTCTTGGAGGGCTTCGGGCTATTTCAGTTCAATCTTCATTTTTTCAACTTTTTCGAGCTCTCAATCGAATTCCTTCTGTGGCGCGCACCAACAGGAGGAAATCAACTGTACACCCAAAACAAAAGGAATCCAAGTGTAAAGCCGCCATAAAAAGGAATTCCATCGCAAATCCGCCTCAAAAGGCACCGAGCATGGCAATGGGCCCGCTGTGTGCGGACGGCAGCACGCCAGGCGACGCAGGGCGCTGAAAGCTGCACGGGGTCAGCGGGGGCGGCTTACGTGTTCTACGGTTCGCGGGGAATGCTCCTCCTCCTCCTCCTCCTCCTCCTCTTCCGCCTCCGCCTCCTCCTCCTCCTCCTCCTCCTCCTCCTCCTTCTCCTCCCCCTCCTCCTCCGCTAGGGGAACGGCTTCCCGTCACCTGGAAGGCTTGCAGAGGGGCGGGAAACGACTCTCAACGATAATATGTCTGCGGGTCCGATGGGCCACAGCTGTGAACCACCTATCTGCGGCGACTGTTGCGCAACTAGCAGGCCCGCAGGGAGAGAGAGAGAGAGAGAGAGAGGTCTAGCCTAGATCTGCATGGCTCTCCACTCCGCTGAACCTCACAGGAACGTAAAACATTGGCGACGGTTGCGCAGCTGGCAGCCCCCAGGGAGCAGCGAGGTCTCGTCTTAGTCTGTGTGACATCCCCACTCCGCTGGACCTCCCAGGAGCGCACGAAAGTGGCGACGGTTGCGCAGCTGGCAGCCCACAATGGAGCAGCGAGGTCTCGTCCGGGTCTGCGTGGCACTCAATTGCGTCGACCTCCCAAGATCGCACGACCGTGTCGACCGTTGCACAGCTGGCAACACCTATGTCACACCGAGGTCTCGCCCGGGTCTGCGCGACGACCCCACTCCGCTGGGCCTTCCAAGCATGCGCGAAGGTTGCGGCAGTTATGCAAATGGCAGCCCCGTAGGAAAGGTACGAGGTAGGAGCTAGGAGGAGGGATGCAAGGAGGAAGAGGAAAAGGAGGCGGATGAGTCAGGAGGAGGGAGCAGGCGGGAAAGAGGAAGGAGACGCGCGAGCAGGGCTTTGTTCAGAACGATCGGGACAAAAAAGGAGGAAGGAGGAGACGCCCGAACAATTCTCTATTCAGAACGGGATCCGGACAAAGGAGGAGGAGGAGGAGGAGGAGGAGGAGGAGGAGGAGGAGGAGGAGGAGGAGGAGGGAATGAGGAGAGAAGGAGGAGGAAGGTGCGCGAGCAGTGCTCTACATGTTGGCGGCGCGCACAAGGGGGTATGGGGGAGGGGGCAAGGCTTCTTGGAAGGATGCCGAATCTCAGAGGGCGCGGGCCTTAAATCTAGATAGGCAAGGCCCGCACCTGCTGAGACGCAGGGGCGCTTCTAAGACGCCTTCCCCCCCTCCCCCCCACCCCCTTTGTGCGCGCCGCCAACATCTAGAGCACTGCTCGCGCACCTCCTTCCTCCTTCCCTCCTCCTTCCCTCCTCCTCCTCCTCCTCCTCCTCCTCCTCCTCCTCCTCCTCCTCCTCCTCCCTCCACCCCCGCGTGGCCGACTGCCTGGAGCGCCCCAAGCAAGGGAGCGCAGGGGCCCTCTGGCCGCAGGGAGCCTCGGCCACGCCGCGGCGGCGATGCCCGACCCGGACCTGGGGAGCATGCCCCCGGAAACCGGGGCCCCTCCCGTCGGCGGCGAGCGAGGGAGGGGGGGGGGGAAGCGAGAAGGCTGGGGGCCCTGGAAATGGGCACCAACACCAACACAGGGGGTTGCCTCCACAGGGGGAGGATGATCCTAGATTTCGGTGTTGGTGGTAACAGTTCGGTCACCTTGGAGGCCAGACTATTACCACCATCACCGAGATCGGGATCCTCTTCCGTCGGTGGAGGCGCACCGCCGATATTGGTGTTGGTGTCAACCTCTAGGCCTGCGAGAAGGGGCGGGCCTTCTCAGAAGGCTGGGAAGTCCCCGGGCCTTGTGAGAAATTTCCGAAGCCTTCCCCGAAGACGCAGAAGACTTCCCAGAAGGCCAGAGGGCTTCTGAGAAGTCCCGCCGCCGCCTGGGAATCCCCATCAAGCCATTAAGGACCCCCCCGGGGGCACAGCACCGTAATT